GAAGGAGTAGATTTTAAATGTTTGTTGGGATTGCCTTTGTTTTCACAGCTCACCTTGCCAGCGCTCCATCTGGATCAGTGAGGTTGATGTGTGCCTGTGGTCCCAGAAGTGTATCGAGGTGAGCAGACACCAGCTGCTGTTTGAGCTGAGATGCCTGCTGAGCCAGGACCACTGGGGTGAGGCGCTCCTCTGCATTGGTTTCCTTTGTGGCCGACTAAGAAAAACAAATTAAAACGTGTTTTTATTGATACTTTTTAGGTGCTTCTATCTAATACCTTCTGGGGCTACACTGTTAAAAATTTTACTAACAACTTTGCACAAGAAAACACAATTAAGAGACTAGACTGAATATTTACTGTGTACTCACATAGACCATTTGTTTTCTGGTATGAAGTAAAAACTGACAAATATTCAAACAGAACAAACTGTTCTCAACAAAGGGCAACTTCTTTGACAAGGTTATTTTGAACTGAGCATAAAATGAATGACTTTATTGTTTCAGCATCCTTGATTGACATAAAACATTTCAAGTACATGCATTTTGATGAGCCCACCTGGATGGTGTCCACCTCTTTGGTCAGCTCCTGGATCTCATTGACCAGACGCAGATATTTCTGCTGGGGCGTCTCCTTGATCCCACTACCTTCTCCAAGCTAAACAAAGGAAAGAAGACTGTTAAAAAATAATGAAATTTCACACTAGTACAAGTTTCAATGTTTTTTATGACTTAATTTCCATTTTAAAAAATGAACATATGGTATAGTTAAAGGGTAAAGAGGTAAAGCACAGTACAACTCAAAATACTTACAATTTCAAACTCTCCAGACTCATAACCCACTCGTCTGCTTTTACTTATTCTGTCTGAAAAGTCTGATTAGAAAAATGTCAAGAGATTACAAGAAATGTATGTACATAACTAAACATGCAACTATTTAAAATACATCAAAGGCTATTAGAAGAAATGAACCACACATACAGTATAATAAAGGATCATACATGTATTATGTAAAAGGTCAACTCTGCACATAGTCGCACAATTTAATAAATAGAACTGACCGAGCCCTTTGGTGCTGACATGCTTGTCTTTAAACTTGTCATAGGCTGCGTTGGGATTGACCACAATCCTCTCAACACTGTCACTGCAGAGCTCCTCCTGTGGGTAAACAGAAACAGAGATAGTACAGTACTAAAGGTAGGCTGGTATTCAATGTTGGTCAATTTATTTATTTTGTGCCCCAAACTTTTCAGACCCAAAGTAAAATTGACAAATGGCAAAACCTTACAGGAAATCAAATGTGTAATCATTTGGCCACACATGATTCACTATTACTCTTTTGGTATTATTTTCATAATTACACTTTCAAATAATCAAAAAAGCAAGCTTAATTTCCATTTCAACAGAGACTATAGTTTGTAATATACAATAAATTGATTAATAATTACTGATTTTATATATATATATATTTATTTATTTTTTTAGCATAAAATAAATGAGATGCTTTGTTTAATAGTAATATTTTACTATTACATGGGTCCAAGGGCTGTGCAATTTTCTTCAAAACTTTCACCCTTTTTCTTGCCAAAATATACATTGCCCAGCCCTTACTGCCCATTATTTATTACTTTCTACGGGAATTAGTTTCCAAGAAGTGACATGCACTACCGATTGATCAGTCTTGATAGTGATCAATGGAGTAGATTAAAAATACCAACACAGATGACACACGTAAACAGAACAAACACACCAACAAAGTAACACAGATGGGTGGGTGGGGTTGGAAGAGGAGTTAGGCTCTTACCAGCTCCTTGGGTTTCCAAAGAGTTAAAGAAAGTAACGCGAGAGGATAGGGAGAGAAGAGTTGGGAGAGAAGAGTTGGGGGAGAGAGAGAGACAACACAGATTAATGTGGTTATCACATGCCATGCACACAACTGAACAGTTGACCAGGGTCAGGGAAGAGTAAGAAAGAGAGCAGTGTTGAAGAGCGTCTATCCTGGAGACTTCAAACAGCTTATGGCTCTTTCTGTCTTCCCCTCTTCAGTAGAGGTGTCCTACCAACTGTACATAGTTACCTTCTCTGATATAATGCCATAAGAACATATGCAGGGGCCATAAATGTCTCACAGCATTATTTTTGACATGGAGTATTACTTAAATACATGATGGGGAATACAAGAGGAGAGGTTTAGATGAGTTAAACATGCTTCAAGAAATGGATTGTTCATGATTAAGTACAACTGTTGGAAAAAGAATACACTGATCATAAACTGTTCAGCCATAATTTGTTTCAAACATGCAGTTAAAGACACACATCTGATCTGATGAAAGCACAGGTCAAAAGATTTTAAAATACAGCCTCTGGAAAGTGTACACTTTGGTCTTTTGTAAAATGTTACGGCCAAGTACAAAAACAATTAATTGTTTACAACTGGCAGCCACTTTGGCTTTGTCTTGATCATGTTATCTGCACACACTACAGAGGCATAAAAGGAAATCAAAAGCAGGAATTTAGTAGTTAACTTGTTAAAACTGTGGTTAGAACATGGTGAACAAGAAAGATAGAAAATAGTCTTCCATACAGTGTTACATGACTTGATAGCAAAAACAGTACTAATACACCTTTAAAATGTGCCCATAAGTAAATAAACACATAAAAAATCATTTTGTCAATACTGAGATAAGATGTTTAATTCTCATTACCAAAAGATTGTAAAATTGAAATTAGATTCAAAGGGACATGCAAAAAGCATGGTAGGAAGCTCACTGAGAGTAAACATCAGTCTTACTTGTACAAACTAGACTTCCAGGAGGGATGGGGAGAGTCAAAGCAAAGGCAAGGGGTTGGGAAGAACGAATGTGAAAACATGAAGGGAAAAGGCCAATTAGGTCCACAATAATCACTTATTGTTATAAAGAACACAGATTACTCGAGTAACTAATCTGTGCATAAAAACGTTTAAGTGTTTGTCCTCACACGAGGTGATATACTGAGTAGAAGTTAATTTAACACATAAAAAACACCAAAAAGATTATAACTAGGCTTGAAATTGAATACAAATTTGCACTGTAATTATCAAAGTCTAATTAAGCAAGGTTAAACACGTACAATTGTTTTAGGTATTGGAGAAAGTATTTTAAGAGTTTTTTTTTTTTTTTCTCCCAGCAATAAGAATGAAATGGATGAATACGATTTGTGGCCCCGAGACTACAAAACTTAGTTACTAAACCAGAAGTGTAATTTTGCATGTTAATACCAGAGTAGTACACTACCAAAAGCATCGATCACATCAGCAGGTCTGGTTAGCTTAATGCTAATATGCTCTTTTCACAGCACCCATAGCAAAATAAAGGCACCCACTCACCGACTCAAACTGAGCCTGGTCATCTTCAGGTAGATCACCAGTTTCATAGACGTCTGGTTCATTGAAGGCCTATGGAAAATAATGTAAACAGGACATTGCACTGTTATAAAACTGTCCACAGCCAAGTCATCACAGCCAACGCCCCGACCATTCAGCAGCCTCTAACTACATTCTAACCACATCTGTCCGTGATATATAGCAATACTTTAAACTACTGAATGTATCCTAATAACATGCATATTAGTTCAAGTCTGTGTAAACAAAATCCTAACACAAAGCTCTTCGATTAGCTCATTTTACGTTAGCAACAATAGCTTGAACAAGCTTAGGCTAATGCTGCAGACGGGCTATCAGAGTTAAAATCACTTACGATCCCCGGCAAATTAGCGTATTTTGGATCAGCCATGGTGGTAAATAAGATCCAGTAACAAAAGTATACTAGTCAGAAGTACGTGGGCTCTTGAAATGTGGGCTAAAGTGGTGGTAAATGTAGCAGTAAATGACCCCGGCGGCCAAGGCTGATGTGACAGGACAGACGGGTGCTTGGTTTACTCACAGGCGCATCTGGCCGGGCGGTGCTGTTAAAAGTTTATCAACGACAGAATGCATATATTTAAAACATAAACAAAGCAGAAGTACATCAGTATAATTATGTGCATCTGAATTGCATCTATCTCTATGTGCTTTATCCCAACTGACAACATGAATTTGTATTGTTTTGTTTTTGATTTTTATTTCCATAGAGGCAAAGGAGTGCATTTACACAAGACTATCCACAAGATGGCGCCAAGGTTCTGAGGAACAAGCAGAAAATTATCAGCTGTGAAGATTTGAGGTTTTCTGTCTTTTTGCTTTATTTATGCAGGACTTCCAAGAAAGAGGTTTTGCAGGCATACCTTGAACATCAGTGAAATAGCATCTCCAGTGGAATCCTCTATTTAGGATATAGCAAATGTCAAAGGCTTATGATATGCAAATATCATATATAGTGCAATTCAATTCAATTCAATTTAATCTTTATTAAGAACACGTGATATCTGGTTCATAGTATTTAAAAAAAAAGACAAGACAAGTGCATATTTGTGTTGAGGAAAGTTTAGTCAAGTCATATTGCTGGAAGTTGTAGATGGAAGCTGCATAATGGAACAAAATAATTAAATTCCAGTGTTTTGTCTAAACATGTCTACAACTCAATGACAACTCTATAATGGGCATAGATACTGCATTACTTTAAGAATTTAGACGGATTAGTTTTTATAATTTTAGTAAACCAAAGGTGAATTTTGAAACTTTACTATATGAACAAATATATTTACTGTACAATTTCAATTTCACAGAAGGAACACTTAAAAATGTCTGTTGTTTTTTTTCTGCAGTCTAAGTCAGTTGTAACTAAAGTCGTGACGAAAGCCTCGTCTTTGCAGGTTAATTACGTTGTAGGCTTTCATCCGTGGCAACTGGAAATGGTTAATACAATTCACAAAATAAAATTAAATTAAATAACATAAAATAATATAACATAAAATAAATAAATAAATGAATAAATGTTCTTTCTTCCAAGTATAACTGTAATGTTGAACTGTCCTTATTCACTATTAAAAAGGATACTACAACCAACTGTGGTGATGAAGACCTGTGCACTGAGCATGTCCATTGTGCTCCCCTCTAATGTCGTAACATTGTAGAAACACAGGGTGGCAGCAAATCATAACAAAACAAAATAGACACACTTGAATAAGGTTACTTTTGTTCAAGAAATGCATTCTGTCGCTGTCATATTTGTTCTGACATTTGTTAATGAGTGAGTATGAATGTAAAGCTTTGAAGTGGAAGATTTTAGTCGGTCAGTTTCTCTCAGTTGCAGGGAGTTTTTGTGCAGGAGGCCAGGAGGATCATATAAATAGGCCTATACAGTCTATTCACGAAAACTTGAGTGCAAATAAGACAAAAGTGAAGCATTGTTGCGTTTATGAGTATGCGTAGTCTGGATCCCAGTCAAATGTACTATGTCTTCCTCAAAAATGTCTGTTGCGCAAGCAGAACTAGCACAAATAATGAGCAGAGCATGTGGTTTGGCTCTCCGCGCGGTCTCTCTCCGTGCCATCGGTCCTTGTGCACGGCGCGGTGCTGATGAGGGACGATTTTAGTCACTACTCCGGCTGACCCCGCCCCCAGTGAGAGAGGCAGCCGGAGAGAGGATGGCAGTGATGCAAGAGGCATGCTTGTGAATGCCTGCAGCCCATTCAGACAGCAGCCGCCACGACCAGCACCTGCTTCGGCATCACTTTGGCTGGTTGTAGGATAACACCTTGAAGAACTTTTTAAATTGGACTGTTTTTGCTTTGCTTTTTGTGCTTTTCCAATTGACTTGTTAAACTCAAATACCTACACCTCGTACCAGTCTCGCCCTAAAAAGCATGTGGCTGTACCCGGAGGTTTAAGGCTGGGTCCACTGTTTTTACGAAGCACCCGTGCACTACGCATTCAGTTTTTTGCAATTTATCACTGGGAATCATATTTTTACTTCACAATGGCTGATGGAAATGCTGAATGTAATATCAAGGTTTTGTGTCGCTTTCGTCCATTGAATCAATCCGAAATTATCCGTGGAGACAAGTTTATTCCAATATTTCAAGGAGAAGACACTGTCATCTTTGGGGTAAGAAGCCTTTTTTTTTTTTTTTTACATATTCTGCGTGAACGTTCACCTCTGACTATTTTACTACTCGACAAATGACTTAAATGTGCTCTCTCTGTGTAATGCCATTATTGCCAAAGCCTACACAGTAAGACCTCTCCAAATCAGACACATGAGTGTTTCACAATGGCACAAGTACTTAAACAGCTCATCATTGACAACCATTATTATGATTTTTTTTTCTTTCAATTCTGTAATTCCCACAAGCCTGCAGCCTCTGTGCCAGCAAGCTCACCACCCTCTCAGCTTTTCACATCTTCACTTGATTTTTTGTTTTGTTTTTGGTGCTCATTTTCTCTGCTGATGTGATGTGAACTCAGCCTGTTATCATACGTGGGCTTGATTGATGTTGTTGATAGATGTTGCAGTGAGCCTGTAACGCAGTGAAATTAGTTTTTGCAAATATAATGAGATCCATGATTATCTCTATGGGGTGTTTCTAGCCAGTGCCCACTGAATGGCATTTTGTATTTTCTGTTTTGTACAAAGTAAATTGCTGGAGAATGGCCCAGTCGTCAGTCAGCAGGTATACACACCTGGGGCTCTACATTTACACCAAAACTGTGAACCCTTATTGCTCATGACATTTTAGTCAAAGCACTTGCCCAGAGCACCTCGACTGGACTGGACTGGTCTGAATGCAAATGCTCCCCTTAATTAGTTATAAGAACCGTGGGGCCAATACAGACAGTAATACCAATAAGAAGGAAGAATGTTAGGGAGGTGTACTACCATTTGGCCTGGGGCTTAGGCTTGGACCGATGATAAAGACAGCAGCTGAGAAGACCCCTTGGCTCATTTAGTCACACACCTTGAAATGCATCACAGCCCTGTGGGAGCTGCCCCTTGTGGCTGTCCAGAATATCTGCGTTTGTGTAGCAGCTGGATGTTTCCAATGCTTTGACACACACAACTCAATTTGCATATCACGTTTCTGCATCAACATTTAAAGGTCATATTTTACACAAAATTGACTCTTGCTAGCTTTAAACCATGTTATAATGTCCTAACCTCCCTGTTTCTTTCACACATTTTTACATTATGCTTTAATATTAGTGTGTCTAAAAATCTCCAAAATTCAAAATGCTCTGTTCCACCTTGTGATGTCATGAAGTGGTAGTTTTCAAGTTAATAGCTACCTTTACCTTTAGTTCAGTAGAGATTGGGAATTCCAAAATCATCCAAATGATTCTAGTGAAGGTGTATGGAGTTTAAACAGACTGTGGAGCACTTCCTGTGTTATCACATGGCATCACAAGGTGGAAAAGAGTGTTTTCCATTTCAGAGAAGAACTCTACATATGAAGAACTCTAATTATGCCATATAATTTTGTGTTATAACATGTGTGAATGAAACAAAAACAACTCCGGGTACAATATTATAACGCAGGTCAGGAAATAGCATTATATTTAAATTTGCTCCGTGGTTATGTGGGTTTTTTTCGGAAGGTTCAATGCGTGTCCTAAAAAGAAGCACGAGAGATGGAGAATCCGAGAGAACAGGCCACTTTATTTCGTCATTTTCCATTGAGAGGATTCAAGTTGATTACCATGTACAACTGCCACCCCCGGACGACACCTCTTCCAACTCAAACTCAGGGGTAGATTTATACTACATCTTGACAAAACATTAACTTGTTGATTTAGCATAAACAGCAAGAAAATGAACAATACTGCTGACCCAGTACACCTTATCATGGGTGGGAACATGCCACGGGGACCACATATGTCAGTTTTTGCTGCTCCGTGGCACTCAAAGTCCAGAAAAACATGTTCTTTATGGCACTCCAAGTGCAAGAAAAACATGTTATATAGACCTATATGTCATACGTGTTTTCCATCCTGTTGTCATTTCAAAGTCCATAATATTAGGTGAATTAGCATGGCCAACACATAATTTCCCACAGTTAGCACACCTGTTTGAGGCTCAAGGCAAAAGCCCCTTTCCCTTCCGTCCACTTCAAGCAGCATTTATTAATCTAGTGCTTTGCAATCTTTCTCAGTCGCAACCCCCATAATAACAACCAGCATTTACAAGTCGTGACCTCCAAACTCAAAGTAGGTTCCTGCAAAAAGTAGAATTATGATAAATAAGAATAAACATGGTCAAACACAAAAATGCTGACAGTGACAATGACAGTGAAGACACGGACAACATTTGTGTTTGACCATGTTCATTTGTTACACGACATAGCGATATGGCACCTGTTATAGGAGCGTCTGGAACAGCGAACAGATCAAGTGTTTGAGCGCGTTCATGCGCTGCAGTAAAGCGCAACGTTTGTTACTTCAAACCAGGTCTTGATGGGAACATGTTCGGGATACATTTGGATTATTTTTCAATGGAGAAATAATACGCCACGATAAAGAAGGTGTGAGGGACTGTGTGCGTCTGGAATGCACTGATTACTGATTTTGTCCTCAACTGAGTTGTCCTCGATCAGAAGGACAGGCAACTCCAGTGATGCAAGGTAGATGTTTATAGAAGATGTTTATTGGTGGTTACATGGGGAGCGTATGTGTGTATGTATGTGTGTGGTTATCTGAAAAACAAACAACAATAATATATACATTAGAGAACAATAAACGATATGAAATTAACAGGAAAATAACTGCTATTATACAGAAAACCACAAGAGGGCGCTCCAACACACTAAATAAATTGTGCACGGAGCCCCTGTAAACCACGGGAGCGCCGCACAGTAATAGCTACAGCATTAACGCGGTATGAATTTAACAACTAAACATTTCGAATAAACTAACAAACTAAACATGCATTCACACTCAATTACAAAATACTCACCCTGCATGAACGCACACGTTAAATATACACACAAATAGGAACAGGGGCTTAAGCCTAGCACGAGGCTCTACTGCAACAAGAGCGGAACTATTGGGGCCCAAGTGTACCGGAACTACAAACAGATGCATGATGGGTATCGTAGTCCCATGCACATCGGACTTTCAACAGCCGCCCCTGTATTTGAAGGGCAAATACATACATGCAAAGTCCACTAAGTTGGAGGAGTGCTGCCAGTGTCCTCAGGCACTTCAGGAAGCTCCACTAGTTTGGTTACAGGGCGTACGTACGTACTGTCTCTAACTTTCACCTCCGCAGATCGAACAACACCGTCTACTCCTGGGAAAACCTTGGTGATTGTGCCAACAGGCCACAGTCCTCTGGGGAGATTTGCATCCACAATCATGACAACCTGTCCCACAACCACATTGTCAGTAGATTTCCTCCATTTCTGTCTCAGCTGAAGCCCAGGGAGGTAGTTCTGAATAAAACGCTTCCAGAAATGGTCACTGATCACCTGACTGTGTCTCCATCTCCTGTTAGACAGAGCATCATGTGGGCCATACACTGCCTGTGGTAGCGCTGAGTCACGCCGCCCCATTAACAGGAGGTTTGGTGTGATGGGATCAGTGTCAGCCACATCAGAGGAGGCATACCCGAGAGGTTTAGAGTTTAGGATGCCCTCAACCTCAATCAGTGTCGTAAGCAAAACTTCTTCTGCTACAACCTGGTCTTTCAGGACAACTTGCAGAGCTGACTTGACTGACCTGATTTCCCTTTCCCAGGCACCCCCAAAGTGAGGAGCATGCGGTGGATTAAAGCGGAAGTTAATGGTCTGGGTGGCTAGTTGTTGTTTTAGTTCTTGGGCCATGTTCTCAAAGGCGGTATGGAGCTCGTTGTTACCACCCCTGAAGTTTGTGCCCTGATCTGACCACAGCTCGTACGGCTTCCCCCTGCGTGCAATAAACCTGCGTAAAGACATAAGAAAAGAGTCAGTATCAATGCTTGGCAGGAGATCCAAGTGCACACATCTGGTGGTGAGGCACTTGTAGATAATCCCCCAGCGCTTCTCTCTTCTGCGGCCAATCTTAATCATGTATGGACCAAAGCAGTCTACTCCTGTAGACCAGAATGGGGGTTTATAAAGTCGCAACCGTGAAGGGGGAAGGTCAGCCATTTTGGGAGTAGAAGGAGAAGCACGCCATCTTCTGCAGTCCACACACTGGTACTGATATTTCTTGATGGCCTGACGTCCTCTGATGATCCAATAGATGCGGCGTATCTCTGCGTACAGCCTCTCTGTGCCTGGGTGAAGGAGCTGAGCATCATAATGCTTTATGATAAGTTCAGACAGGGGATGATCTGCTGACAGCACAACAGGATGAATGCTATCCGGGTCTACATCTGTAGCCTGACGCAGACGGCCTCCAACTCTGATCAGACCACTGAGGCTGTCATATTCAGGGGAGAGCGCACTCAGACGGCTGCTTGAGTTAACAGTACGGCCTGCTCGGAGGGCTTGAACCTCCTCTGGGAAACTGTCAGTCTGTGCAGAGCGAAGCAGTAACGTCTCTACTTCCAAGCGCTCTGCTGCAGTGGGAGGAGTGGCCGCCCCGTGCAGTGACTGGTGAGTGGCCAGGACCAAGTCATCCAGTGTTGTGTACTGTGCTGGATCTGGGGGGCTCGGTGATACAGCGGCATGGCCACACAATGCTGCTTTTCTGAGCTCCTCACTGCCACAGATTGTAGGATCTGTTGGTGGCTTTGGCCACATGTCCTGCGTCTGAGTCAAAAAGTGTGGGCCTCGTGCCCAGCGGCTGGAAACAGTTAACTCTGCCAGAGGTTTGCCTCTAGTAATATCATCAGCAGGGTTATTGTCGGAGTTTACATAACACCACTGCGCTGGGGAGGTCAGCTCCTGGATTTCGCAGATTCGAGTTCCCACAAATACCTTGTAGCGGCAGGAGCTTGACTGGATCCACTGCAGCACTGTCGTGGAATCCGTCCACAGATAGACGGACTGTAGAGGGATGGTGAGTTCGGTTTGGAGCACCTTGGTCAGCTGGGCTCCAGTAAGCGCCGCACACAGCTCCAGTCGGGGCATCGACACTTGTTTGCGGGGCGCTATTCTGGACCGTGCCATGACAAATGAGGTGGAGATG